GAAGTGGGCAGAACAGCTGTGGCTATAGCCATTGCGCAGATAGAATGTGCTTCATGGATGGCAAGACTGGGACTGTAGGACAGGCTCTCAATCCATTCTACCCTGTTATTGTTCTGAAATGGAAGTTTTATCTCCCAGCTTATATACGTAGCCTTATCTTTGATGCTTCAATATCTGAGACCTGACCAGTGTCCCTTTTAGTGATTGTATGTGTGTGTGTGTGTCATATGCAATTTCCTTATAGCAATGGCATAATGTATAACTGTTTAATTAAAGAAGAGAAATAAATGCCAAACATATGAATAAAGTCTGAGTATATCTGTAACATTAAAAGTGTAGGTGTCTATCTTTGAAGATGTATCTTAAAGACAATGAAAAGAGTCAGTGAGTAAAAGTAAGATAAGAGAGTCCTGGGATTTCATACAAGATCAGTGTTTACTTGATGGTGTATGAACCATAGTTTAACCAATTCCCTAGTGCTGGACATTCAGGTTCTTAATATTTTTTGCCTGTATTTACAGGCACCTTTGACTATTGGACTCATTTTGTTCTTCAGGAACAATATACAAAGTGTGGAAAGAAATGTGTATTTTTAATCATTGGAAAATAAACACTGAACAGCAATAACTCCAGTAGTCATTTGTTCCAGAGGAGGTAAAATCAGGAAATAGATGGTATGGACTGAACTTGCTTCTCTTTTTAAAAAATTTGACTTCATATTGCCAAATTGCCCTTCTAGATGTCTTTATTCCATCTAACTGCAATTCAAAGGCTTGGATGAGCAATGCCAGGCCTGGCTTGATTATCCCCTTTCTTTCTCAGCCTGTCAGTCCTTGGGAACGGGCATGATGTTGAGTTCCTGGGCCACATCCTCAATTGAAGAAGTGGCAGAAGCTGGTCCTGAGGCACTTCGTTGGTTGCAACTGTATATCTATAAGGACCGAGAAGTCACCAAGAAGCTGGTGAGGCAGGCAGAGAAGACGGGCTACAAGGCCATATTTGTGACAGTGGACACACCTTACCTGGGCAACCGTCTTGATGATGTACGTAACAGATTCAAGCTGCCACCACGACTCAGGTAAACATGAACATGTGGGCCCTGAACTGAGCTGAAAGGGATCTTGTCTGGGAATGATAGGGTCTGGATTCTACTGATACCATCATTGCTAAATATCTGGTTAATCTTCAGCTAATCAAATCCCTTTTGTAGATGTCACTTTTTTGAGCTACACAATAGAAACAGAAATGGCCTCTATACTTACAAAAGTCAAAATAAGTTTTCAGACCAGAGTGCATTAAGGCCTTTGGCTTTAGGAAGTATGAATTGCTCTACAGATGGAAGATACTTAATTTTGCCCAAGCAACAGTTTATTAAGATCATCCTGGTGCCCTATTTCTCTGTTAAAGTCAAAGAACCACCTTTACATTTTATTTTTAATTGTACATGGAACAGCTAAGGATAAGAAGATTAAAGAAAGAAAAAATAATGGAGATTAAAAAAAGCCACATCTTTGATCCCTCATTGTCTACTTCTTCTTTCAGCAATATTCCTTTCACTGTGGTTTGTCCATAGGTCAAGATTCATTCATTCATTCACTCAAATCATTCATCTTAGCAAAAATAATGTATCACATAATCTGATGTTGAACTATAATGGTTTCATCAGGTCATTCATTCACCCTGTTCACAAGCAGTGAATTATTATCTCTTTCCTGGTAGTATTTTGGGATTACAATCATCTTGAGTCAAAGCTGGAAACTGAACGGAAGTCTCTGGGAAAGACCCAAACCTCCTTAAGCTATACACCTCTTTTCCCCATCATGTTTTCCTTCCTTTAGTTTCCACCAAAATGTGCTCTTGGATTTTTCATATGGATGTATTATGTCCCTCAGCCCTATAAGTACTTGAAAATGGATCAAAATCTTAGTTTTAATGGAGGACATTTTTATGATGGACTCCTACAGCATCCATCAGAATATGTAAGATTATGAGGAATATCTTTCTGGGTTCCCAGATCTCATTCCACAGAGGCCCTTACTTATTCTGTCTATGTTTGAATTGTATTTGAGAAAAAAGAAAAAGAAAAAACAACCTAGGGCTAGCAAGATTGAAAAAAGATAAAAGACGAAAGAAGCCACAGGTTTACTGTGTTTGCTCTTCCAAAATATTCAAAAATGAAAAGATCCAAAATCAAATTCATATTCGCCTGGAATTTCATATCTATTACAGTGACTGCAGAGTGTATCTCACCATGGAAGTTGGAGCATGGCCTTGTGTAAGTTTCACATAGTTTTACTGTGTATGTGCCTATGTGAGAATAAACTACTGTGCATAAAATCTTGCTGTTGAGCCATGTGTGAATTAGCTGTGTGATGTTACCTCCCTGTTACTACCAGGCCAGTTTAGGATATTATTTCTGTATGTGGCACCAGGATTAGGCCAATGACAGAAAAAGAAAGTGCTCTCCCTGCCAAACTTGCCAATAAAACTGTTCCACATATCCCAGACTCAGGGTTACCTAAACACCCCGTGTTTAAAGAGAACA